AATTATTTAGATGGGATACAATTTTTACGTAATTTTTCTATACTAAATGATAAAGGAAAAGGTCTATAACTGTTCATACTGCTTTGTCGTTGATGAATCTCTGCCAAATGGTGAAAACAGTCTTGATATTATGATTGATATCTAAGATAAAAACCTATTGGTGATAATTTTGTTTAGGATATGAAAACCGAACAAAATATTTCAATCGGATCAAGGTTTCAATCAGCTGTTTTACCGATTTTCGGTTGCTGTGAAATCTGACGTCATACAAAAATGATCATAAAATCCAAAGAATTTAAATTAATTGTTTCAAATCAAGACTAGCTGATACATAATTGAACAGAGAAGGCATGTGCATTCTTAAAATTGGATGGCAGTGTTGATGAACAAGTAAAAAAGTAAGGTAAGCACAACAATTTTTATGTCAATAACCTTCATATATGTCTAACATCCTTGAATGCTGTGAGATTTTTAAGATTTTTTTTTATATTTACATTTAAATAGTTTAGATTTATTCTGCACTCGTTTATCTTTAATTTGATATATTATATGTCCCGATACAGCCAATACTTTTTCTTCAGAAAGATTTTAGCTTTGTCGTGATGCAGTAAAAAAAATTCCACCAAAATTAATGCTGTCCAAACCCTAGAAAAAATGTGGTCCTGAAAGAGTTAATCAGACTGCAGCTGGCTCCGTCAGTATGGGAACTCTTCACTGGCTTTTAACAAAAGATATGAATGAGAATGTCCTGAGTGCCAGGATGTCAGTTCTGGATTCATTCATTCACACATGGGTGCATTCTTAGTGATTCAATGAATATGCTCAAGAAAATTCAGGCTGGCTTCATCAGATATAAATGGATTCTCCCATTAAATAACGCTTCGTAATGCAGGGTTCGATCCCAGCTGCGGGTCATACGTCTTGAGTTGGTTTCGACAGTGATATGAAGAAAGCCGACCGTCCAGTAAGCAATGGAAAACTACTGGACGTCAATTTACCTAGAAAAATCACACAACAGCCAAGGGCTGTTGGGGATGGTTCTGCAACGTCCTGTAAAGGACACACAACTAACCTCATTAAATGCATCATAAATAACTTGCCTAACCTTTATCTTTGTGTTCAAGGCAATGTGCATGCACATTATCTGGCAGAGAAGGCGGCTACCACGACTGGTGCAGCGCTGGACAGGAATGATGACATTAATGCCATACGAGCTGCAGATAGCAAAGACTACAATAACAAGCAGGACTCAGAATGGGTGTGATCAGCTGTTGTACTCCTGTGGAGCTGCTGAGAAGCGGATCGAGCACATAAGGATCTGTCCAGAGTGCTGTGATGACAGTCCTGACAAATCAACCAGGAACCATGCCTTCTGTTCCCTCTCAGCCACTGTGGTGTCTAATGTCAATGAAGTGTGCCATGCTGTTGTTTATCAGTGTTGTTTTTTGGAGCTCATATCTTGAAGAATGTCCGCATTTTTCTTCTTTCTTCTGATTATTGGTCGTCAGGTGAAATCTACATTTTCTAATCACACTGGCACAATGCTTCATCTTCTTCCTCAGTCGTCATACTGTTACTGGGCTGTAGCTCAGTTCTGTGGTTTTCTGTATTTGTATTTCACTTTTCAAGTGGTTTGAGTGATAGATTTGTTCAATATCTTTTTGCAGGATTCAGCTACATAATTTAACCATTTGGTCTTTCCCTCACTCTCCACCCAGATATTCTGCTGTACAAAGTCTCATACACAGTTTGTTCTGGCTGCATTTTCACTAGATTGCCAAAACAGTTCATTTTGTCTTTACATGTAACAGGCACAACGTAGAATTGTAGTGGCCAGATACAAGAGGAATGGCTCCATAGTTATTTGTTTCCACTACCAAAGCCTAATAAAGACCACTCAAAGATCTGCGGCTACAGAATCATCTCGATGCAGAATACTGTTGGCAAACTTTTGGAAAAAATTGTCGCACAAAGATTGACCACCTACTTGGAACTACATGATAAGTTCCCATCAACACTTGGAGGGTACAGATTGAAGAAAGAGACATGGTCCAATGCTGCTGTTTTCGCCTACGATGTGTACGAGGGATTTCAGATTAAAGAAGAGACATGTGCGGCAGTGTTGGACTTAGAAGATGCCTACAATAAAGTACCATATGATTATTTAATGCAATTACTGCTTAAACTAGAAGTCAATCCTATTCTGATCCGCTGGATTGCTGCGGTCCTGTTCCAGAGAAAGATTGTACTAAGATGTGGTAGCTGGTCCTCAGAACCGCAAACGATATGTCCAGGCTTGCCACAGGGATCACCGCTATCACCAGTCTTATTCAATGTTTATACGGTGATAATCACTGAGCAGCAGTTGAATGGAAAGGGAAGGACTTTGTCATTTGCTGATGACATTTTGATTTATCGACGAGGGCGTGATAGACAGGAGATCGCCAGCACAATGCACAAAGAACTCGATCGAATTGCCGCCTGGTGTGATGGTTCCAATGCCTATGTCAATCCCTCGAAGGCATCAGTGTCATGGTTCTCTTTGAACAATCACATTGTCAAGTCGGACTTACCAGAAGTGAAAATGCGTGATAATGTATTGATCAGAACCAACGTTATGACGTTTCTCGGGGTGAGGTTCGATCGCAGCTTGTCATTCAGGGAACACGTTGACCATGCGATAACAAAAGCACGCAAAGGTCTATCTGCAATGAGGATTATGGCTGCTTCCAATATCGAGCAAAGACTGCTGGTGCTTCTATTCTATGGTCTGGTCCTTTCCCCCATTGAATACGCTCTGGCCATCCTCACTGTCAGTGCTACCCAGATTGAACGACTCGAGAAGGTGCAAAATGAAGCCATGCGTATTATTTTGGGATGTACAAGAGACACATCTTGTGGAGCAATGAGGTATCTACTTGACTTTCCAACAATGAACCAAAGGATCAGGATGTGGAGGGCTCGTGCATACCTCAAAATATGTGCTGATAAGAAACACCCACTGCATCAAGCGCTTTTTAGTGAAAAGGGCGACAGACTGAAGAGGGGAAAATCGTGGCTAGGTCGGGCAGAAGATGTTATTAGGCAAATATGCAGCCTAACCGACATCATACCTGGTGCAGAATGGATACCTGTGCCTCAGGCGTTTATTTGTACATTTTCCTGTATTGTCACACTCAACAGGCGATGTAGAGAAGATAATCCAGTTGCTGTTAATGCAGAGGTCAACGCTCTCATCGGTGAAAATTCAGACGAAGCAGATGCACTAATCTATACAGACGGATCAGTTATACGCCAAAAAAGGAGCGCATGGGCATTTACAGCACGCTCAGCGGGCAGAACAGTCAAAGAAGCCAACGGCGCCTTCTCCATGACAACCAGCAGCATGACGATGGAGGTGATGGCAGTGACGCAAGCGTTTGCCTGGCTTGAAACACAAAAATACACCCGCATATGTATACTCAGTGATTCAATGAGTATGATCCGGAGGGTTCAGGCAGGTTCAGTGCGAAGACAATGGCTTGAATCAATTCAGAAGTCCACTGTGCGAGGAGTCACCTTTATTTTTGTTCCGGGACACGCAGGCGTCGATGGAAATGAAAGAGCTGACAGGTTGGCTGGATCCGCTATCACTACCGACGGTCGGCCTATGGATCATGCTGATATTATCAATGCCCTCAGAGAAATGGGAAGGATAGAGGACTTTGGTGGCAGTGAATCCACATCACTCGCCAGAATGGCAGACTTGGGAATTAAGATCGGCACAGCAAAAAACGAGACGCACACCGGACACGTCAGAAGACTTGTTAATCAACATAGAACTGGTACTATTAGCCATCGGACGTTGGGATTCATACTGAGGGGAGGATCTGAGCACCTATGGACATGTCCGGAGTGCAATGATGATAACCCAACTAACTAACTAACTAACAACGTAGAATTATTCAATGCCTTCTATTCTGGCCGGAGCCATGGTAGCCAAGTGTCTGTGCATCCTTGCCTGTCAGCTCAGTGACATATTTTTTTTAAAAACAAATTTACAGGACTCTCAGGATGACGGTCGTAAACAATGTTTGGGAACTAAAGGCAGATTGCATGGTTTTGCCCAATGTCCTATACAGATCTGGACTGTGTACGCAATAATGGGAGACTGATGACAATAAATGGCTTTTACTGTAATCCAATTAATATCTGAGAATCATTCTATGTCAAATTATTTAAGATACGATTTGGATATTCTATAATCAGAAAGAGAATTTAAATGATATCTATGATGCTGTTTTCAGCTGATTTTTAAGTGTGGGAGTATGTCAAGGCTTTGATTAGGACCAGCATGCTACAGTGAGCATAATAACATTCAAAATAAGTAGGGAAAACTTGAGTATGTCATTATGGCAGGAAAGTTGGAGGGGAAGAGAAGAAACTAGGACAGAAGATGCTGGATAGTTTAGCTTCTTCTTCTCCTTTCGTTCGCTTGAAATAGATTATCTATATCTGTAATGTTGTCTCTAGTATGAATTTCACTGTCTTTTGTAATTCACTCAGTGACCCGTAAAGTCTGACTTACACCAATGTTTCTCTTGGCCAAACGTTGTGCCTTGATATCTTGTATTTGGGACAGTCTTGGAGGACATGATCTGTTGTCTCAGGTGCCAATCCATTTGTGCACATGGCTGATTCGCCAATCTTAAATGTTGTGTACATGTGGCTGCGAAGTCGACTGTGTCCTGTTCTAAGGCATAGAATAATGACTTGCTCTGGTCTATCCATAAATGTTTAGCATCATGGCATGGAAGAACATCTGTATCAGAAATGACTGACAGTACTTATGAGAGAAGGCTGTGGACTGACATGATTACCAACACCACACAGTACAAACTATGAGAAGAAGAAGTGAAGGGAACAATGATGAACATCCATCTTAATGAACTAAGACTAAGCACATATATAATTGCCCCGAGTGCTGTGTGTCAGTTCCAGTGGACAAAATTAATAAATGTCTAAGCTACTCTGGCAAGCCAGCGATAAAGTTCACCTAGATCCGGACCTTCTGAACTCTGACCCCTACCCAGCGCACTACACTCAGCAAATTCAACTCTAAGAGGCTTGACGTCAGAGAAATCAAAGTCCTTGTCTCTCTTGCCCAGGTAGGTGTTGTTGTTTGCTGTGTCCCCCACACCTTTCAGGGCTGCAGTTCGAGTCACTCTCAAGGTGTTCCTGAAATGATACCCAAAGAAATGTGGCTGAAAAAGTGAACAGTCACTTTTGCTAACATGATATTTCTTTTGTTTTACTTAATGACTGCAACATAAAAGTGGAACACTAATACTTAAATCTGCAAATAATTTTTTTTTTTAAATGGATTAACAGCTACACATAATATAATTTCAATAAATAAATGTTACCGTGACAAGCCTTTATCAAATTTTAATATGACATTTGACCATACTGGTGCAATCCTAATCAGCTATTAAAATCAATATTTGCAGCCAGGCTAAAAAAAAAAAAAAAACATTCTCTAAGCTGTAATGATCATTGCATATTAAGTCTTTGTGACAGATATTATTTTAAATAATGTGGACATACAAAATGCATTCACAATTTACTGCCTGACACATTTTGCTGTATTTATATTTTTAGATTATGTGAAGCTAGAAGGACTGGGACAGGAAAACAAATTCTGGAAAAGAATAGGCACAAAGAATCTCATAGACACTGACTTTATAGTCAGTCTCAGCCAGGTACTGATCACACACAGACTTAACCAGACACTGACAACACAGACTTAAGCTGACACTGACCACAGACTCAACTAGACACTGACAACACAATCACAAACTCAAACAGACATGATCACAAAGTAACAGACTCAACCCGTCAATGATCTCACAATAAAACAACCTGACATTTACAACCGGATCGTAGATTCAAGATAAGACTGACAACATAGTGATACCAAATATCTTACATTTCCTTCTCCAGTTGGCTACGAATGACCTTGGCACCTTTGGAAAGTGTAAGATCTTGTTTGTTGCACAGGATGAGAATTGGAGGTGTGTTGCTAGACACAGTTCTGTCACTAAGAATGGTGTACAAGTATCTGGAGAACGACAAAATATCATGTCATTTAGAATAATGAAGTTATCTCTTCTTCTTCTTATAGCTCATGCTGCATAACATTTGGTAGTCACATCTATTCACAACCTTCTGTCCCACGTGCATTCAATCATTTCTGACATGGGTTATCTTCCCTGTCATTATGTCAAACTGTCCAGCATCTTTTCTCTTCGTCTCCTGATTCCATTCCCCACTAGCTTTCCCACCCTCACGATGTATTCCAGTCTTCTCCTTTCCATGATGTGATCAAAGAATGTAGATTATTGTAATGTGGGATATTTTCACCATGATTGAGAAGGTTGGGGGGAAAGCATCAGAGTCACCATAAAACCGAGAGAAGCCAGATACTCGGATTAACCAAGGTTTTCAAGGGAGGGGACAACCACGTGTTACCACGTGGAACCCAAGAAAAATGACCACAGGTCGCCACGTGAAACCCAAGAACGACCACGTGTTGCCACATGAAAGGAACAATAGGTATAAGACAGACGACAGTCTGATCAGACAGTATGTGTTGACCGTTAGAACAAGAGGGCGTGAGAGTGATCCGTGTGAATGAGGACGTGAAACTGATTGCTGCAAGATGACGACTAGACTACAACATCCATCGAAGTAAAGTCCGTCCAACTCAGTGTGGGAAACTCAATGCAGTTACAAGAGTCATCTATGCAGAGATGTGGAACTGAAAACGGAAAACTCCGGAGGGTGAATGTGTCAGGATTCAGTGTGTTGGTGTCTGAACAATGTGTTGCTTGAAAGCTTGTTGAATAGGACATGGACTGGACAGACTATGTAAGTGTTCAGATGTAAATAAACAGTCATGTATCATGGAGACGGTGTTGACTCGTAACTTCTATGTCATCTGAGAGTGTCAGTAAAATCATCCATTTGACTACATCCCCTAGACAACAAGTCAAAGGTCAGAAGACAATTATTGCAATTATAATACAATATTTTGTTTATGTACAATGAGAATGGGTGCAATCTGCTCCAGAATATAAGGTTAATAAAAGATTGCTCACATGTATTTAATCTTACATCTCGCTTATGTATTTCTTATTTTGTGTTATAGATGTTCTGAAAATCAATTAATGACAAAACATAGTCAATCAACTCAATGAGAAACACATCGACTTTGAACTCAACGAGAAAGAAACAGACAGTGAGCTAGATTAGAAACACATGAAATAAATTAAATGAGAAATACACAGAAATAGAATTAGACGAGAAAGGCACAGAAAATGAACTAGTATGGTGGTGGCCACAAACTGTACAAGTATCGATTTTATTTTTGCCCTCTGACAAAATATTTATCCATCTTCTTGCCAATCATTCAAACTTGGGTCTCCCCAAAAAGAGCTTTAGTGCTCCAAACCACTGGCCAGCCACATCTGAACACAACATAACTGTACAAAATATGAGAATTTAATTTAGGTCAACAGGTTAGCCAATTCAGAGAAAATTTTATGTCCAGCACGGAAAGTGTGAGTTCAGGAAGAACTTCATTAGAGCCTGTGAACATGCTGTGGATTTGCTGGGAGACAGCCAAGGAAAAGAAAAGCCAAGAATCAATATCACAATATACGGAAATATATTTACAGATGAAGGCAAAAGCGAAATGGAAATCAAATAAATAGAGAACATGAAAGGGCAAATTCATGTTCAATAGCTTGAGAAAATTAACGACTACATTAAATAGTAAAACTCAAATGGCATGTATACTTAACCCAACTGTTTGGTGCAGAAACCAGGTCAATATATACAGTCAGCAATACAGCACAGTTTTCCTATATGGTCACTAAATTGCAGGGAGTGTGGCCACTGGCAGTGGATGTTTGAACCTTTTGTGTCATAAAGTAGGATTTATGAGGTAGGGAAATCTGAACCTTTGCTGTCATCCAGTAAAACACTTGACGGATGGACATTTTCTCTTCAGTAGCCATTCAGTAGGAGTCTCTACCAACAGACGTTTGAACCAAGGTTTGTCATACAGTAGGAAATTTGGACAACAGACATTTGAACTTCCTTTTGTCATTCAGTAGGGAACTCGGCCAGCAAACTTCACGAATGTCCCAAATGAGTTTTCCATGTAGGTTATCAACCATGCACAGGGGATAGGCTAAAGAGTTCCAGACAAAGTATCTCTAAATACACATCACAACCACCTGAACTTTCCATAATGCCTGTGACCATAATCACTGTACCACACAACTGATGCATTATATGCTAGATGTGGTTAAGGTCCTTTGGGAGTAGGTGAACAATGCAGAAGAGAGAACAGATTATTACAGTCTTGAGACAATGGTGTAGTGAGGAGCCACCATGAATCTTGCTGACACTCTACACTTGAATTCTAAGTGTACATAGCCAACTTATCGTGCCTGACTACTTCCATCAATGAAAAAATGCATTTCTGGTGGCGCTTGTTGGCTTTGGTGTCTCTAGCCACAGCCAATGCATTTACTGCGTGTGCATATTTCTAGATTCTGCCAGGACTAATTGTTTGTTCACCAGTTTTTCAAATGGGACAGCGAGGGACAATTCATTTGATTTTTACTAGGCCACGAGAACGCAGCAAGTATGAGGTGACCCGATTGCAGTAAAGTTGAAACTACAACTAAGATTTTACACTTAGAGGAACAGCAAGACAAACAGAACTCTTCATTAGCTGCTGAAAATGAGGACGGAAAGGTGCAGCTGGTCAAATGGTTCTCATGCAGGAAACCTTGGTTCGAATCCTCAGTAAGGTTGGGGATTTTTTCCTTAGAGGCAAACATTTTTTTAATCCTCACATGCACAGTCCGTAGCATTTGGCAGATGAGGACACAGCACTTTGGGAATGACCAGAATAAAATAACATAACCCTTGACCTGTTAGGGTCGTGGAAGTGTATCGATGGAAGCATTGACACAAAAAACATGCCATCTTTCTCTGTCTTCAGACTGTTGAATAAGCTGAAGAACACTGAAGAGTCAATATGCTAAATGTACCACTTGCAATCTGATTAAAAGTTCGCATATGTTTCCCCAACAGTTTTGAACTTAATCCTGTCCATTTCTTGATGTTGTCATTCCAGTTTCTTCTTTGCCCTCCTCTTCTCTGACTACCCCTTAGTGTTCCTCGAAGAACAGTCTTCGACATGCAATCGAATCATGTCTCACCACATGCCCGAACCAAGCTAGCTTGCGATGTTTCCCCACTGCCAGAAGTGGCTCCTGATGTCCTGCAAATTTGTTTATTTTGTCTCTGACATATTTGTTAGTTTTGTGTTCTAAAAAACTAATTCATAAAATTCGTCTATACAGCATTTACATTTGAAAGCCTGAATCCTCCTTTCCATTTCCACAGTGAGTCCAACTCTCACACCCATCTAAGAAAATACACAATACCAATGATTTGTATATATTGACCTTTATTGTAATGCTGATTTTGCACTTCCACCTCCTATGCCCAGAATGCTACAATGTTGGTTTTTAATTCAACTCAACTCCAGTGAGGTAAGAATGAGAGTTCATAAGAGCTTTGCAGAGCCAATCCAGATGTACAGAAGTGAATCATGACCAGCAAGCAGACTGGTGAAAAATTGCAGAAACTGGGAAAAAATGATGCAAACACCAAGGACACATAAAATATGTATGAATGAATCAATTGATTAAGAACTGGCATCCCTGCACTCAGGACATTCCTATATATGCTCTGTCTCTTTTTTTTTTCAGTAGCCAACGAAGAGTCGATATGCTAACTGTTTCAGTTTCAACCTGATTGAAAGTTCGCCTATGTTTCCCCATCAGTTCTAAATATCTTCCAAATCCCCTACTCACCGCCTGCTGAATTAGTCTATCAGTGTATAGACACTCGGTCTATTCTGCTGCACCATTCACTTGATCCCAGACAGCCTTTACCACATCCACTTTGTCATATAGCAGCTCATCCTCCAGAGAAGCCGCAGCAACTAATCTATCAATCTGCTCACTAGACTGCATCCCTGAATATCCTTACAGAAAATCCATGATATGCTCCTGACCTGAGTCTTATCAGGCGATGCAAGCCTCTCTACACGTAGGACGCCAGTTTCTATTTTCCTAAGCATGCTCAGTGAGTCCGTTAAATGACTACATGTTGGAATGTGCTGCTCTCAAGCCATCGGGAAGCTGCCGTTACTGCCTCCACCTCCATTCTCATACTGGATGTTGTAGCGCTATATGCGAGGCTCTGTTTGCAGACAGCATCCATTTACCTTGATAATAATACCCTTCCTACTCTTTCTAACTCTCACTACAGATCCATCTGTTTATATAACCATTCACCTGGGTGTGAATTTTCACTGATTAGCTCATGCACCATGGTCCAAGGTAACTATCACACTGTGCAAGTCAGATTTATTGGACGGCACTCTAACCAATTCCTCACCATGTACTGTTTTGTCAGTAGCACAAACAGTTTTGATTGTTACTTCTGCCTTATCATCCAAAAGCTACCTCTTTTTAGCTGATGCCCCTTGCTGTCCCCTAGGCCACAGGTAGGTGTTGCCTGCCCACTGAGACTTTAGGGTACACTTTCGCTTGTAACATCTTGTGTCTTTCATACATGGACGGCAATGCAAATATGTGCCGCATGCATACAATTGGCGTGACTCGCATGGCTTCATTCTGCATGTGCTCCAGCTTCTCTATTTGGCTGTTAGATAAAGTAAGCAGGTCAAACCATACTCTATCATGGAAAGAATAAGTTACTAATAAGGCATGTGTAGAGCATTCTTTGTTTCATGTCCGCTGATGCCATCACCTTCAACGCATTGAGTCCTTTCATTATGTTTAACACCAGCTCTTCCACGCGGTGTCTGAACGACAGGCTTCTGTCAAAATATATACCAAAATATTTCAGTAAATTCTCTCTCTTAATGTTACTACCATTTATTGTGTCATTTGGAACCTCGTCTCTAACAATTCTATTATTTAATGAAGACCGCAATACTTCTTGGTGCCTTATCTGGACTGATTACAGAACCTGTTTCCTCACACCACTCTCCTACCTTGTTTACTGCATTCTGCAGTTTTCTAGATATTTCTGTTCTATTCCCCCCTCCCCCGTCTGTAAATTAAAACATCGTCAGCAAAAGTCAGAATTCTCCCAACTGCCACTATACTGCTTGCGCATACATTGAAAAGCACAGGAGAGGCAGCAATCCAAATTATTAGATGTCATTAGAAAGGAAATCTGGATCTATCATCAACTGCCTTGCTGAATGGCGTAGGTGAAAATGCTTCTCTACAATCTACAGTCTTCAAAAGCTCATGTGTGTACATCCCTACAAACCATGACAAAAGCCTATCAAGAGTCTTCTTTGGTTGCTTTCTTCTACTCTTTTCCCTCAAATCATTCCAGTGGTCACAACATGTTCCAATTTTGCTCTTCACATTATAGGGCCAAAATATAGTGACTGTCTCATTTTGTTATTTATGATGAGTTGTCTTCAGGCCCTTGCCTCTTTCAAAACATCTGCATTGTTCTGTTTGGCTGTCTAATGAACTGTAAGCATTTTTCTTTAAAACCACGTCTCTGGAGCCTTAAAACAATTGTCTAGCTTGTTTATTAATTGTCCAGGTACACCCTGACAACAGGTAAACTGCAGAAGACAGGAAAATAGAGATCAAGAGACAGAATGCTGGACATGAAAGAATACATGTGTCAGAAATGACTGACAGTACAAGATACAGAAGGCTGTGAATAGACATAATAATGACCAATGCCAGGTGGCCTGGACTATCAGACTAAATGTGACAGATGACATTTCATTCTTCTTCTACGTTCACCCTTTAAAGGGCGGTTGTCACACTGGTGGTTTATAGCTAGGCTTGATATCTGCGCTTTCCAAACCAACACATCTGATTTCAGCAAACTTCTAACTGATCACCTTTAGTGAAAAGCTTGTTAGGCAGCCAGAGGCTCTATTTCTTTTCCCCATAAAAATGGGGTTCTGGGACGTAAACAGGAAGAGTTAGCTGTAAAAGATGTGGCAAATAATAATAAATAAATGCTCAAGCATTGTAATTTTTTGCTATATAAGCTGAAACAAGACAGTTGCTGTTAATGTGATGATAATTCTATAAAATAATGCAGAAACTTAGCTACTCACTCTGCAACTTCCTTGATTTCTTTCTGCAGCGCTCCACTGTCGACAACAAACACCAAACCCCTAGAGAAATGTAAATTCTTGAATTAGTTCATACATGGCATCCATTTATAGATCAGTAAATACTAATCCTACATTCTTGAATCAAGGGCATCCATTAATGGATCGGTAAACACTAATCCGACATCCTTAAACCAAGGACGTCCATTAAGAAACAAATAAATACTAATTTACTCTTGGATCTGAACATATGTGGGACAAGCATTACATGACAAGTCATCATCATCATGTAGCAGGTCCTTTGCAGAACGTCGCTCTCATCACGGTCTGCCTGAAAGAAACTAGGTCTCTCGCCAGCTCTCTGTGATTATAGGCCACCATAGATGAAGTTAATAATTCACATGTATTATCACCTTACTTATATGTATTATATGTGTGTATTATGTGGGTGGGTGTGTGTAATTGTTAGTGTGTATGTATATATGTGAATATATGTCTGTATTTTTAGGTTTGGGAGTATGTGTGTGTATTTATGTATGTAGGTTGTAAATATATGGGTGTATGTGTGATTGTATATGAGTGTGATTGTGTGTGTGTCTGTATTATGTATGTATGCATGTATGTATGTATGCAGGCATATATAAGTGAATGTTTGTATGAGGGTGTCTGTTTGTGTGATTAGTTATGTGTGTATGCATGCATATGTGTTTATGTATTTTATGTGTGTGTATGTATGCACGTATGTGTGTTTGTATGCATGTTGGTGGATGTATGTATGTATCTGTGTAAGTATGTGTGTGAATTTATGTGTGTTTGCAAGTATGTATTTATGTTTGTAAGTATGTGAGTGTATGTATGGATGTGTGTATATATGCATGTGTGTGTGTGCGCGCGCATGTATGTCTATGTAAATGTGTGTTTATGTTTGTATGTCGATGTATGTTTGTATTATGTATGCATGCAGATTTAGTCTATGTATGTACACATGTGTATGTGTGCGTATATGTATATAGGTGCATGTATGTATTATGTATGTCTGTATGTATGAGAATGTATGAATGTAAATGTGTAAGTATATGATTGTATCTGTGTGTATATATTTATGTATAATGTGGGTGTATGCAGGTATATGTAGCTGTGTAGGTATGTGGGTGTTTGTGTATTTATAAAAGCATGCAAGTGTGCATGTGTGTGTGTGTGTGTATGCATGTGGATATATGAAAGTATAGTTAGGTATGTAGGTATGTGTGTAAAGATGTGAGTTTAGGTATAAATGTGTGGATATATGTATGCATGTGTGTGGGTGTATGTATTCATGTAAGTGTAAATGTGTGGTTTTGGGCATATGTTGGTGTCTGTACATGTAATGGTATATGTGTGTATGCATGGGTGCATGTATAGATGTATATATATGGAATGCGTGTGTGCATGTATATCCATAAATGTACGTGTGTGTGTTTTGTTTGTGCATTTATTTCTGTGTATGTGTATGCTTGTATATGTATGTAGATGCAGGTGTGTATGTCTGTATGTGAGTTCACCTGTATGAAAATGTAGATGCATGTATACGTGTGTGTGAGTGTGTATGATGGCGTACACACGATGTGTGTATGCATTATATATTTCTTTTTAAATCCATAACATGCATTATTGATAACAGATATTAGTACTCTGAAAATGAGTACTTAGAAGGGCCGAATGTCAGACGGGCCTGCGTGCCCAATTTGTAACCCTTTGAAAATAAAGTTTGTTCGTTTGTTCGTTCGTTCGTTCCCGCCTCATGTACTTTCATACTTAAGGAGTCACTTATATCCTGTGCCCATCTTTGTGTCGGTCGGCCCCTGCCTCTCCTTCCTGGTACCATGCCTTCTGCTATAATTTTTTCCAATTCGGCGTGGCGCTTGATATGACCAAAATATTTCATCTTCTGAGACAGGATGCTGTTTATAAGCCAATCCTCCTTGATGTTCAGATCTCTCAAGATGTCAGTATTTCTCCTCTTCTTTGTCCAAGATATTCTGAGAATCTTTCTATAGCATTTAAGCTCAAAAGCCCCTATTCTCTTCCTTAAGGACTGGGAGATAGTCCACGATTCACATCCATATGTTGCTACAGGGAAGATGAATGCTCTTAAATTCTAATTTTGATCTCCTTGCTGGTGCTTAACCATAGACTTTTAAGGCTGTTTAATCCTTGCATTGCTATGGCCATCCTCGTTTTAATTTCTGTCGAACAGTCTCCATTGCTATTTAGAGCCTAGATATTCAAAGTTTGTGATCATAACTGTCACAAATCTGGTCATTTTTTACATTTCTCATTATATTTTATTTATTATAATATATGATATTTATCATTTTATTATATTTATTATCATATTATATTTTTATAAGACAAGTAAACACTCATAATTTACTATTGCTGGAAAACGAAGCCAAGTCCTAGTCGGCAACCTAACAATAAAAGACAAACAGCAATGCAGATATAGACATAAACAAATGATAATGAATGAAAATATAAAATAATTATTAAATATTTAAATGTATAAAATGATCGTGATTTAAAATATAATACTTATTTACCTTGCCAGACTTTTGTATTCCTCTAACAGCTGACCTCTCAACCTTTCATGCCCAGGCAGGTCAATGATACGCAGCTTTTTCTGTGTTATGAAACCAAACACTGCTTTAAGTATTTAAAAAGTTGTGTTTCCCTTCCCTTCCAGTAGCAAAACTGATAACATCTGTAGCCAGTGACAGAATCTGGTTGTTTCCCATACACACACACACACACACACACATATATATATATATATATATATATATATATATATATATATATATATATATATATATATATATATATATATATATATATATATATATATATATACTGTTTAAGTCTGTGAATGTTAGTGTTAAAATCTGGGTTTGTCTATGTGAACTGACCGTTCAACTCTGAATGTTAATGTTAAAAATCTGGTCATTTTCTATATATATTTACTGTTTAACTTTGTGAAAGCTGGCACTAAAGTCAGTTCTTTCCGAATAATTCACTCCAAACACTGGTAATCCTTAGGTCACGGGACAGTCTAATATTTCAGGTGGTAGAGGTTAATAATTTGGCATTTCACTTGCCGTGCTGTGCAGTTTTCAGTTTTGTGTGCTTCTGGGGCTGTTTTTTGGGTGTGCATTTTTCTGTGTTATGGTGCAATCGGTAGGATGCAGTTTTTTGTGGGTGTTTTATAGTTTTTTTGCTGGGGAGGAGGACCTAGGCTGCATACAGTCGTGGGACCTACGCTGCATGATGTCATGGGACCTAGGCTGCTTTCTCTTGTGGGACGTAGGTGGGTTGGGGTGAGGGCCAGTTCTAGATGTGTTGGGGTCGTTACAAGCATCAGAAAGCCGGAAACTCACTCTTACCATCCTCTAAAATGTTGGACTGTCCTGTGACGTCATCTGGGGTCGGATATTAAGAAAGAACCAAATTCTAAAGCAACTGTCAATAATGTCAGTATGTACGACTTTTTAGGGTAATGTAGACAGGGGATTGTGAGCCTGAGGATCTAGGGACGCACTGCTACTGCTGTCGCCAAGGACTGTACGAGTTAGGATGGTAAATTTTGCCCTGACAGAAAAATCCATCACCTTACCGGGGGTTGAACCTTGGTTTACCGCATGAATGCCAAACATTGTAACCGCCTGCCATATTTAGGAACAGTCATAACATCTGACACAAGATACCTTGCAGAAACAAGAATCACCACTGCATAGATAGCCTTTAGTAAGATGTGAAAGATTCTCATCAATAGGTAGATGTCACTTGCAGGGAGAAAAATAGTCTTAAAGTGTTATGCAGAATTTGTGTTGTTGTATGCATGTGAAACAAGGATAATAAACAGATAAGCTAAAAACATTTACTTGTGGCAGAAATCCGGTTTCTGAGAAGAATGCAAAGAATATTATGGAAAGATAGAAAACAAACGAAGCAGTCCTCATTGAGACAAATAAAATAATGAACTTATTAGAATAATTAGATGAGACAGTCAATATTTTTGGACATATCATAAGATCGAATGGACTCCAAAACGTGCTAACAACTTGAAAGTTTGATGGGAAATGAGCAAGAGGAAGGCAAAGAGATAAATACCTAGATGGCCTGGCCATATGGATGTGCTGCGACAAAAACACAGAAGTGATCCATGATTCTGGTGATCATGTGAGATGGCGAAAAATGACAGCTTACGCTGATGGCATATGAAGATGATGATGAGACTTACAAACACTTGACGTTACCAAGTGGAAGAGAAAGCCAGTCAGAGAAATGAATGGAAGTAAGTGATACCTGTAGCAAGGTCTCAGAATGTTCAAGAAGAAGAACACTGTGTCTTTTGCTGAATAAGGTTGACAATGAATCACTGCTTTCACAAACCTTTTTTTCTGTCACTTCATAGTCCCCTGAGTTTATCTTGATTGATGTATATGTCTGCTTGAAAGCTTTATGAACCAACTGAAATACCATTTGTAAACAATATAAATTTTATAGTCGATATATAATTTATATGTCAACATAACAAATGAGACATGTGCAGAAAGCATGTACTAAAGTAACTCATGCACAAATCTGTTACTGTTTACTTACTGCCATTCTAGTGCAGCATTATTCCTTCTTGCATTTCTTCCTGCTGCCCTATATTGCCAGAATGGCTTCAACAAGGCATAAGGATTTATGGTGAAAATATGGGGGTGACTGCAGTCAAGTTAATACAAGGAATTCCAGAGCCGACTCCCACCGATCCACACAGCACTTCCTTTTGGGACTACTGAATGCTCATGCAGCACGTGCAAGACATGTCCTTTCGTTGTCCAGACTTCTTTGTTCAGTTTCCCTAATGGTTCTTTCCAAATTAGGGAACCTTTTACTTGCGAATCCTGCAACGTAATTTATGCAATTATCTGCAAACGATGCAGCAAGGCATACATTGGGGAAACTGGCAGGAAGCTTGCTGATCGTTTCCGGGAACACCTCTCCGATATTGACAAGAAGACAATTAAACCAAGCCTCTCCATTTTAATAGCTCTGGCCACAGAGGTCATCAACATCAGGTGCCTTGCCGACTGGCGTGGGGGATCATGCCTCTTCATAATCTGCGATCTCCTGCAGCATTTATCAGTTCATGTGCCGACACACCTCCATGCCATGCAACAAGACAGTCAAGCATCTTCTCTCGCTGTCTTCCTCTATCCCTCCTTCCACAGATCTTTCCAGTGGTCACAACATGTTCTATTTTCCCTCTTCTCATAACATGGCTGAAAAATGATCACTGTCTCCTTCTGATGTCTGTGATAAGTTGCATTCGGGCTCCCGCCTCTTTCAAAACCACTTGGTTGCTCTTTTTGGCTGTCCAAGGTATTCTAAGCATTCTTCTGTAAAACCTGAGGCCTCTAGAAATTGTTTGGCCTGCCTACCGATTGTCCAGGATTCACAGCCATATGTTAAAACTGGATATACGTAGCAAGCAAGAATTCTTTTTCTAACTCTCAATGACAAGGATATATTGCACAAGATGTTTTTCATTTTATAAAATGCAGTTTTTGCCTGTCCTATTCTGTTTCTTATCTCAGTTATGCATCTTCCATCTGATGTTATCTATGTGCCTAGATACTTAAATTTCTGTACTTGTCCTAAAATAACACCATCCATTTTTATTACACATTTAGGAATAATTCATTTCTTTGATACCACCATTACTTGTGTCTTCCCAATATTCAAACTGAGGTCCATTCTTCCACTTTCTAACACCACAATGTCTATCATTTCCTGTAGTTCTTTCTGACTTGTTGCTATCAAGACTGTGTCATCAGCATAATGTAAATTGTTTATATTGTGCCCATTAACTACAATTCCGGGCATACCAATTAAAGATCTCATTATATATTCACTGTATATTGAAAACAAATCAGGTGACAGTACACATCCTTGTCGTACGCCCCTCTTTATGCTTTGAAATGTACCTAAACAGTTGTTAATTCTTATTGCTGTTTGCTGCCAATACCTATTCTTTATTATTTGTAGATCTTTACCATCAATGTTTAATTTTTCTAACAGTTTGATTACTTCTTCATGCTTCACACAGTCAAATGCTTTTGTATAGTCTAGGAAGCATATGCCCAAATCAGTCTTTACTTCTATAGCTCTTTCTGACAATGTCCTTAGGGTGTATATGGCATTGTTTGTACCTTTTCCTTCTACAAATCCACATTGTTCATCACTGATTCCTGGTTTAATTTTGGTTCTTATTCTTCTCATAATTATTCTCAGTAAAATCTTAGTCATGTGACTCATAAGACTTCTTGTGCAATGGTCTTCACATTTTATAGTGCCTGGTTTCTTAGGCAGAGCTATAAATAATGATTTTAAAAGGTCATTTGGAATATACCCAGTATTATAAATATCATTTAAAAATTTAGTAATTATTTCAATTCCAAAATCTCCCAGTGCTTCGATTTCTTCCAGTGAGATGTTGTCTGGCCCGGTTGCTTTTCCTTTCTTCATATTATGTATTGCATCATCAACTTCTGCAGTCATTATTGGTGGACCATCACTGTTGGTCTGTAGTTCTACATCTGGTCTATTATCATCATTCAATTCCCCTATATACTCTGTCCATCTGTTAATTATATGTCCCATTAATAAGTCACCATCTTTTGATTTCAAACATCCAGTGCTGTTACGTGTCATCTTTCCTGTTAACGTATTTATCTGCTGGTACATGGAATGTGAGTCTTTCCTATTGTTTTCCCCAATCTCTGTACACATTTGATTCAGCCAGGCTTCTTTAGCCACTTTGCATTTGTTCCCTATTTCTTTTTGTATTCTAGAGTATTCTTCTTTATCACTCTTTTTCTTCCTTCTTTTATTCATCAACTGCACAATTTCGGTTTGACATCCACAGAGGTAAAGACAATATTTCTGTCACAGCATTAAAATCGTGCTCTGGCGATCATACCATGCGCCTCGCTTTGGAAAATGGCGTCATCCACTGCCTAGGCGTTCTTAGTCCAGGTGGTATCAATATCCAACATACCTTCATATAAATAGTTCTACTCTTATCTCATTTTAAATGTTAATTATTTTCTTTTCTTTCATATTATTACTTTATTCTATTTCTTATCAGTATCATTTATGTATCATTAACATTTGTATTTCTTTTATTCCCAGTATTATATTATATATTTACAATACTACTGTTTATTTTGTGACTATATTTTTGTAGCTATCGTTTATTTTATTTCATTTATTCCACATAAACATTTTTTAAACGTTGCTCACGTCACCCCTTAGAGATCTATATACTCTCCTCTCCTCATTGTTACGTTTGTATAGTTCACTTATGTTTGAAAAAGGCTGCCCGGCCGAAACGTTACGCTGTGTTGTTTTGTGCACGTTTTTCTGCTTCCCCATTTTGTTGTGCTTTTCAGTCCAATTTCTCTGGAATTCCTTATAAGGATTTATGTACAATATGCCAGATGCCGGTGCTGATTATAAATGATCTTTTTAATGCAAACAGGCAACTGTGGTGGTGTAGATTAGATACTTACTTGCTGGGTTAAACTTGTAAAAGGACAGATTTTAATAACTGAGCCATTCCAGGTCCACGTAGTCTAACAGTAGTATAGCAAATGTCCTATGATGTAAAGGCGGTCGGTGTGATGTTGAGTCTAGCACCATATAATCAATTTACCAGTGGTGTGATCAGAATTTGTTTACTGTTACTTGACTTGTCTCAAGAATGAACAATATCCTACCTGGGAGAAGATCAGAGTTTTACCGGCATCACAGATGCCCAGCAGCAAGACGCCATGTCTTTTACTCTTTCCCCGGCTTCTGACTATCACAAGTACTGAAAATTAAGTCATAGAAAGCAATCAGTTATCCATTCTTTTTTGGAAGATTAGCTTAGAACAAAAAACACAATAAATTCATTTTTTTTATGCCCTAGGGTGCAAAGGACTCTTACACTCTTTTTTTTTATTATCACACAATTACAATCAATATATCAGAAAATTTGAGAAGAGAGAGAATGAACAAACTTTATTTTCAAAGGGTTACAAACTGGGAAAAAAAGGCATGTCTAACATTTTGTCCTTCCAAAAATTTATCTTTCAGACCAGAATGCCATGTTTTTAATGAATTCCAGAAAAATTTGACTAAAAAGCTCAACAAAGTGGGAAAGAGGAAAACGTGCACAAAACAACACAACGTAACGTTTCGGCCAGGCAGCCTTTTTCAAACACAAGTGAAATACACAAACGAGGAATGGAGATTATGTAGATCTCTAAGGGGTGACGTGAGCGACGTTTAGCTTGACTGCAGTCACCCCCATAGTTTCACCATGTTTTTAATGAAGCATGTTTTGTCTTTATAAAAATATACATGAAATAATGGAGACACACATCATATATACATATGTACAAATGCTCATACATAACACTCATATATATACATACACACACACAACCATCCATCCATATTTACATACATAGACATACATGCAGACACACACAAATATACATATACACTCACACATGAGAGAGAGAGAGAGAGAGAGACGAATGGGGGGGGAAGGGGGAAGAGATTTTCTGTACACAGTGATCATAGACTGATAGATCACTGACTGGCAAACTCTGGACTGACTGATCACAGACTGGAACTGATAGGTCCTACGCTGATAGACTATGGACACAGATCCCGGACTGACAGAAATTTTATTAGACATCTGAGTCAAAACGAGAACAAGGAAAAGAAACCATTGAAAATACAGTTACTATTTTCAGCACTGCTGGTGTCTCCTTAGAGAACTTCAATAAAGGTTAAATACGCCAGCAGGCAATTAAATGAGATTGAATTTACTTTTGTAATGATACAGCTAGTAATACTATCTATAAAATACTAGAATTATCTCTGCAAATCTCTTCATGTTATAGCCCTAAATTAGATGTTACAGCCCTTTGGATGTCATCAATATCATCAAAAAGGCAGCCTTCCAGTGATCCTTTTAGTGTTTGGAATATAAAATAGTACCAGGGGCACTCTTGCACAGCCATTGCAAAAATACTTCAGTAAACACTGGCAGGGACAGTTTGTCATTCAGGAAAAATCAGATCCTTGCCGAAGCAACAGAGTAAGTGCTACTGCAGCAGACAAGAGAAGAAGAAAGGGGAAAAGAGACAGAAAAGACATGCTGGTGCAAGAAGGCAATGAAAAAGTGAAAAGCTGACCCCAAAAAATACATGTTAGACACACTGATATGATGTGCTGATGTAGTGGTGCTACAGGAGACCCGGTTACAAAAGAACACACATAGGCCAAGTAATGCTGTTCAGGAAGGACCTACATGCCATAAAGTTGACATTAGCACTTGAATGATGACAGGATACAAATGCATGATGTGTAGATCTAAGGCACCAGGCAGCTCACTAGTGTCAACATCTATGCATGGACGGATGCAGACAAATGGCAGAGACTGAAGGCAGTCCAGGAGCAGGTTATGTGTGAAGTCTTGCCATGCTGTGACTTTGATGGTTAGGGAAGGTTTTGAGATAACAACACGATAAACAGTCTTAGAACACAAGAACTAGGAACACGCGAGAAAACCCACAACAGAGGTAGACTGACCTGTCTGAATTATGACAGAACAACTATAATACCTGAAAAAGGGTGACACAGATAGTGCTATAGATTCCTCCCTAGACGGGAGGTGCTAGGACACTATGGCAGTGATCGTCTCCCATGATGATACGGAGGTATGCAGTCGAGAGACAATGAAGACAAGTGAAGGACTTCTTTTAAAACATAGAAAGCTCTGATGACACAGGTCACCTGCGCCGTAAGACTCAAGTGACAATGACTCAGAAGAGGATGAAGAGGCGCAAGACACAATGGCAGACAGATAAAACCAACAAGGCATGGTATACTAAATGTGTAGCCACCAAAGATTGGCAAAAGGCAAGGAAAAAGACAGACACACCACATACTGGTAATCTGGCAATCTTAAGTTTCAGGTTCATAGCAAACGGGTCACCCCATACCAACGAAAAACACACAAAATGTCCCTTGTGGAAGGATTGACAGACTGCTGTTTCAGCATATGCGCTAGCATACACACTCATTAAAAGCATACTGTAGCCATCCTAAGTGCTAACACAAACAGTCCTACATTAGAAATGCAGTTCATTGTGGATGGTAGCACTAGTGACTAGCAGAAGTCACCAACAGATCAGCAGCTGCACACATGATCCATTTTAATCACATAATGGCACCACCAATATTGCGCCACGTGGCATCGCACCATTTTCTGAATCTACAATTCACACCACCACATACTCAGTGGCCCAGGACTAGGAAAGATGAGTTAACAGAAGTCTCCAAGTAGAGTGCACACACAAAAAAGTGAAGCATCAAACATGGGAGAACTATTACAAGGAAATCAGCCATGATGCATCACATGAAAAGTTCTGCAGCCTGCATAAAAAATGCAGGAAAACAAGGACAATGGCAAATGGGGATTTACTGCATACAGACCAAGAAAAGGGGAGGCTTTCTGAACCACTACTTACATCCAACAGACTAGAACAAAAGATGAAAAAGCACAAGACAGAATTCATGTAAAAGATATATGTGTACACTTTATTACAGTAGCAGTCTCATTATAAGGACTGATATAATAGGTGTTTTGAGCCATTTAACAAATGCTGCACTAGGACCTGATGAGGTTAGATGTGAAATAAAGATCATGGAAGTCAGTGAGTTGGTGAAACTGCAGTAGCCATATTATGAAGGAATCAGTTTCTGCTGAGTGGCTCCAATTAATAAAATCTCTACCTAAACTTGGCAACATGCAAAATTTGAAAACTTGAAAAGATCATGGCCCCAGACTATCCTTGATCTTGGAGGTTAAGAAGTTACCCCCCTCCCCTTCTCTCCTGAGGTTTTGACCAGGGATGGACACCTGGACCTATGCTACAGTATTTGCAAATGACAACTAGGAGGGATTCCAGGCTGGTATTGAAATAGATGCAGCAACCATTGAACTTGAGGATGCATGCAACAGTGTTCCCTATGACTATCTTATAGCACTGCTATTAGACACAAATATTGATCCAAAACTTGTCAACTGGATGACTGGCACTCTTTTTTGAAAGGACGATAGTGTTGCAGTGTGGGACATGAATGTTGAAGCTGCAGACCATCATGCCAGGGTTATCTCAGAAGTAACCATCGTCACCTCTCTTTTCTCTTTTGTGTGTGCACAAAACAGGGGTCACATCATTTAGAATATGGGGTAGGGGTGCACCATGTCCTTTACTGAAGAAGTACTGACATATCAGCAGGATACAGAGGGGAGACAGCTAAAGCACTTCAGCAAGAACTTTACAAACTGATCAGATGGAGTGAGGAATCAGGGGTTAGGGTAAACCCAGCTAAGGCTACAGTGATGTGGTTCTCACTAAACAGAGCTGTCAGGATGCACAAGCAATGAGGGTCATGGCACATTATTTTGGGATGTACGAGAGACAGCTCCTGTCTAGCATTGAGCTCTTCAAGCTCTAGAGGACAGTGAACGCTGCAAAACTGACATAGCTAAGATAATTCTAGATGCTGATCAGCTTATTACCTCATACAACATCAGAATAGTGATGCAGTGGATTCCACAGCTGACAGACTGGTAAAGAAAGGAGCAACACAAGAACAACCACCTACAGCGACGACCCTACAGACAGCAAAAACACTTATAAAAGCTATAAACAAAGAGACTTGGCTGAACAGATGGACCATAGGAGATACCGGAAGAGAGGTTTATAGACACATGGCTAGCCCTGATCCTAACGACAGCATTAACCATTTAACAAGAAGGGACCAGGCCACCATCTTCAGACTCAGAATACAACATACTCCACTCAATGGACACCTAAACAGAATACAGCCCCAACACTCCCTACAAATCTGTTGACCATCTCTTTGAGTGCCCAAAACTCAACGAGACTAGAAGAATGCTACTCCCTCCGAGACCAGACAGGTGGAATACCTAGTACGGAGGAAAAGAACAGCTTGTGAAAACATGTTAATTCCACTACATGACATTGGGCCAAAGGGCGAAAGCTCATGTGCCGCTGGATCAATAACAACAACAACATCTTCATTTCGGGGTATGCAGGCATGGATGAAAACGAAAAGGCTGATAAGTTTGCTGGATCGGCTATCACTGCGGAAGGTCAACCCATAAATCATGCTGATATTATTAATGCCCTCAGAGAAGTGGGAAGGGTGGAGGACTTTCAAGACAGCGATTCCACATCGTTCACCAGAATGAAAGACTCGGGAGTCAGCACAGCCAAAAGCGAGAAACTCACTGGGTATACAAAAAGACATATCAATCAACAAAGAACTGGCACTATTAGTCACAGGACTTTGGGGTTCATATTGAGAAAAGGATCTGAGCACCTATGGACATGTCCGGAGTGCAATGATCATATCCCAACTAACTATTGCCTATTGTTGGTGGAGATAACATTAAAAAGCTACTAAACCTTAATTATCTTGGTATGCACTTTGACAGATGTCAGTTTCTTCTTTTGTGTTCATCCGAGGATTTAAATGTGTTGTGCCGCTAACAATATGGCTGTAATATTGTCACCTTTCAGATAATAAATCCAAATTCTGCAGGTACCTTTGTGCCTGGATTAGAGTTCCTGGTTAGTTCTGTGGGACATTGCAGTTTTATTGCTGTTTGGTCATCTTTGTTTATTAGTTCAAAGGTGATGCCCCCTATTAGGCCGGCCCAGAGCAGCCACACAATGCTGGTCAGCCCTCAGGAAGAGGCAGGGCGGGAGCAGGATCGTTCCCAACCATCTTATGAGGCTTCTATAAATGCAGAGCCATTACACAGTGCTGTGGTACGGGATCACCCAAGTAATCATCCGTGTCCACAGTAGTTTTATATATATCCCACATAGATGTCCAGGGGCATTCAGTGTGGCAGTATATGGACAGACGAGTCCATGTCTGTCTTGATATGACAACCTTAAAGGCTAATAAAGGCTTAGTGATGCTCAGGATAATGGCAGCAGTTCATATGGAACAAAAACTGCTCCTTACGCTGTATCTGAGCCTAGTACTCTCCATGATCAACTACGGGCTTGGCCTCCGCATAATGAGCAGACATCAGTTGAAAAGATTAGAGAATGTGCAAAATGAAGCCATGAAACTGATCTTCGAGTGTACAAGAGACACCTCATGTCATGCAATCCATCCTAAACCTGCCAGTTACGGCCACTAGATATATCACCCAGTACCTGGATGGAAGAAGCAGAGCATTATTAGTAAAAATGGAACATGTCAGCCTCAGGGTTGAATGGATAGAAGCACTAAGAAGAATGCAAGAGCACACTATAATCACTCTGGGCTGGTATTGCACAGAATGGAGCCAAATAGTGGCTGATGCTGAAATAAGAGCTCATCCATGAGCATCTTCGCACAAGTGACGCCATCATCTATACCAGTGGTCTCCAACCTGGGGGGCACCATAGGGTTTCAAGCGGGTTGTCAAGCAATTTTGAAAACCAGTGCCTCTGTATTTATAATAATCTGTTACATTATTTAGTTAAGTTTAACTATAAATAAAATGATAAAATATTTTTCAAAACTATTTACAAAACAAAAAGCCAAGGACATTTTTTGTATTTGTTTCATAAGCAGTTTGTACATCTACAATTAAATTTCAAATTAATTTTACACAGGAATTGAATTACACATAAAGAAAACATTCTGATCAAACATGTCTCTATACTGTCTGCTTCCCTTAGTGCAGAATCTACGGTCCTCTTCTTTTTAATTTTATTCACATTGTGTTATGTTGGGAGGGACTTGGGAGTCTTGTCAGATTCTCAAGGGAGGTGTTGGGGTTTTGCAATATACTCAAGGGGGCATGGTGGTCTAGCCATATAGAAAGGGTGCATTGGTATTGACATATATTCAAGGGGAGGTGCGACCATTAATCTATACAGACAGCTTAGTGATTTGTGGGGTGAGCACACTCGACACATGTGAATGGGTAGAAAGTAAAAGAAGAAAGTCAGATAGAAATGAACAGAATATGGTAGTATAACTAGTTTTCCATCCCGATAACAATTAACAGTAACAGGCTTCAAAGCTGCATGTTTTTTATTTAATAATTTTAAAATATTTGGCTCTCCTCCGAACTTCTACCCCCGCAGTATTGCGGCCTGAAATATCCGTTCAGGGCGCAGTCCAATAAAAAATACGGACTTGTCGGAGATCCCGCCGAGGAACAAAGTGCGGCAAAACTAGGAGTACCTTACAATGTCACGAGATGCAACATTGCAGACGATAAAAGCGACCAGTGAAAAATGTCGAGCGTTTTCTGCAGACATTACCAGCAGATGATAAAAGCGACCGTTGACAATTTCGAGACATTACAGAGGATGAAAGTGATATGGCGGGTAGACCACGCGCTCCCACGCAGATTGGCAATACTGTTCTTCCGATTGAGGATTTAGCAGCGGTAGATGTCAGCATGCGCAAAACGCGATTAAACTCACCGCCGAGCGTATCCCCTGCGCCGCGAATGGGGGGCTAAACTAGGTGCCTGGGACTCACGAGCAAAGTAACTGGAGGAAGTTGCAGGAGATGCCGTAGCTGCCGCTCATGAGTCCCAGCCATCTAGTTTAGCCCCTATCCGCGCCGTGCGTAGCGGCGCGGGGGATACGCTCGGCGGTGAGGCATAGTCACAGAAACAGGTTCCCAAGTAACATATCGCTGAGACACTGTTAGAGCATTTGTTTCGTTTTTCCGAGCCGATCCTAGATGTGCTGCGATTTGTTCGTCGGCAGAAAGTTCGACAATGGAGTCGAAAGTGTCAACGGTCGCTATTATCGTCTGCTACTATCGTCTGCAGTGTTGCGTGCGTCTCTTAACTCTAAGAATTGTCAGGTAATCAGAAACAGGTCCGCAAGTAACAAGAAAGTAGTAGAGATTGACATTTTCTGGTGAGTACTGCCACCTTTTTAGAGTTGGACACCGTTTTTTTTATTTTTCAACGTTTTGGTCAGTTTCTAGAGAGAAAAGGTATAAGCATTGATGTTATAAAACTCGCATTCATTTTCTAACCTAATGTCAAAATTCCTACGACAATCCCAATAATAATGCCTAACACGGTTGGATCGCCACTTTCCAGACCATGTTTAAGATAATCGAACATGGCTTGGACGTGATCTCTTGTCTCCATGCTTGGGGAAAATATTGACACATATGGCCATATGCAGACGTAGTTTCCGGTTTGGCTGAAAGTTTCGCATTATTATCATTATTAATTATTATCATTCTTTTGAGGTAGCATCTTTTGGCTATCTTCCAAATAACGGTCCCAAATTATCGAGGCCGAAAATATACCCTAACAGGGCCTCAGTCACATGTCAATTGCGCACTTCCGGGAATATACGGCCGAATTGCGACTATACCGCCACCGCCGAGTGTACCACCGCGTGGATTGGTGCTTAACTAGATTGCTGGGACTCACGGGCAGATAAAATGAAGAAAGCTGCAGGAGATGCGGTAGTCATCTAGTTTAGTCCGAATCCACGCCGCGCGTAGCTGCGTGGGAGATACTCGCAGCGGTGGCGGAAGTCGACGGAAGTTCGTAATTGATATGTGACTGAGGCCCTGTTAGGGTATATTTTCGGTCTCGATAATTTGGGACCGTTATTCGGAAAATAACCCATCTTTTCGCTAATGTACTATTGTGCCAAAGGCTGACACGGGAATAACCACCAGTGGCTATTGTTAGTGTCACTCATCATCATTATCATCAGGTGTCTTGCCGACTGGCGTGGGCGATCATGCCTCTCCATAATCCACTATCTCCTGCAGCATGTATCAGTTCGTGTGCCGACACACCTCCATGCCATGCAACAAGACTGTCAAGAATCTTCTCTCTTTGTCTTCCTCTGTCCCTCCTTCCACAGATCTTTCCAGTGGTCACAACATGTTCTTTTTTCCCTCTGAACATGGCCGACAAATGATGACTGTCTCCTTCTGATGTCTGTGATAAGTTGTCCTAGGGCTCCCGCCTCTTTCAAAACCTCTTGGTTGTTCTTTTTGGCTGTCCAAGGTATTTTAAGTATTCTTCTGTAAAACCACATCTCCGAGGCCTCCAGAAATTGTTTGGCTTGCCTACCGATTGTCCAGGATTTACAGCCATATGTTAAAACTGGATGTATATAGCAAGCAAGAATTCTTTTTCTAACTCTCAATGACAAGGGAGCCCGAAGACAACTTATCATAGACATCAGAAGGAGACAGTCATCATTGTTCGGCCATATTATGGGAAGAGGGAAAATAGAACATGTTGTGACCGCTGGAAAGATCTGTGTAAAAAGGGATAGAGGAAGACAACGAGAGAAGATGCTTGGCAGTCTTGTTGCATGGCATGGAGGTGTGTCGGCACACGAACTGATACATGTTGCAGGAGATCGCAGATTATGGAGAGGCATGATCGCCCACGCCAGTAGGCAAGGCACCTGATGATGATGATGATGATGATGATGATAGTCTATGAATCATAAGTACAGATCAGTTACTTCTATAGCTCTTTCTGACAATGTCTCTAGGATGTGTATGGCATTGTTTGTACCTTTTCCTTCTACAAATCCACATTGTTCATCGCTGATTTCTGGTTTAATTTTGTTTCTTATTCTTCTCATAATTATTCTCAGTAAAATCTTAGTCATGTGACTCATAAGACTTATTGTGCGATGATCTTCACATTTTATAGTGCCTGGTTTCTTTGGCAGAGCTATAAATATGGATTTTAAAAGGTCATTTGAAATATACCAACTATTATAAATATCATTTAAAAATGTAGTTATTTCAGTTCTAAAATCTCCCAGTGCTTCGATTTCTTCCAGTTGTTTGGCCCGGGTGCTTTTCCTTTCTTCATATGACGTATTGCATCCTCAACTTCTGCAGTCATTATTGGTGGACCATCATTGTTGGTTTGCAATTCTTCATCTTGTCTATTATCATCATACAATTCCCCTATATACTCTGTCCATCTGCTAATTATATTACTATGTCCCATTAATAAGTCACCATCTTTTGATGTTAAACATTCAGTACTGTTACGTGTCATCTTTCCTGTTAACATATTTATCTTTTGGTACATGGAATGCTAGTCTTTCCTGTGATTTTCCCCAATCTCTGTACACATTTGATTCAGCCAGGCTTCTTTAGCCACTTTGCATTTGTTCACTATTAATTTTAGTGTTTTCCTCTTTATCTTTCTTTTTCTTCCTTCTTTCATCCCTCAATTGCAGAATATCGGTTGACATCCATTTCTTTTTTGCAAATCTATGGGTTGGTGGGATTGTCTCTTTTGATGTCCGCTGAATTGACTTACGCAACATACCACACTGTTTATCAATAGTCTGTATAATTTCCATTGCATTATACCGGTTTTGTACAGTGACATTGTACTGGTCCTTAATTTCGTTTTCCGTTCTAAGAATTCCTAAATTTAACTTGATGTTCTGTGGTGTTTTTCTAATGTTCTTTAGTTTTATTCTAATTTTTCCTGCAACTGGAACATGGTGACTAAAACAGTCTGCTCCTGGTCTAATTTTTGCTCCAACTAAGCTGCTCTAGAATATTCTTGAAATCAAAACATAATCAATCTGATTGCGAACATTATCGACAGTACTTTTCCAAGTCCACAATCTTAGAGGATGGTGTTTAAACGAAGTGTTACTTATTATAATGCTGTGCGACCATGCCAATGCTATAAATCTGTCACCTATCACATTCTTTTCTCCACCCGTTATTCCGTACACTTTTTCACTTCCTATGTTCGCGTTGAAATCTCCAATTACCATTGTTACTTCACAATTTTTGCATTGATCGACAGCCATGTCTAACTCGATATAAAATGCGTCAATATCTTCCTCAGAACTTCTGCTGTTGGGGCATAAATCTGTACTAAGCTGATGTCAAACGGTCTGCCGGGAAGTTTTACTAATAGTACTCTATCTGATATTGTCCAAAATCCTTTCACAGTTTTTGAGTTCTTTGAATCTAAAATAATACTAACTCCCAGGCTATATTCCTTTCCACCTGTGTAAATAATTATGTGCTGATCTGAATACTTTTCCCCTGCTCCTGGCCATCGCATTTCACTAATTCCTAATATGTTGATGTTCATTCTCTTCATTTCCATCTTGATGTTATCCAGCTTTCCGTTTTGTACAAGTGTTCTGACATTCCATGTACCAATGTTCATGATGTTTCTACCATTTACTTTTTCTACAGTAGCTGGATGACGGTCGGGTATCACCCGTAGAACATGATGCTCCCTACCGGACGAGGTGGTTCCATTGGAATCCCCATTCACGTCGTTATCTGAATTCGTGATAATCTGAGGCATGATTGACTAGGGATAATGCAGCGGTGGTTTCCTCTTGACTTCTGTCGGTTTGTATATGGTTTGACTCCAATAGCCTTTGTCTAAAGAGACTTACCCTGCAAGGCAGCAGGGGGGAGAGGTTATGGCGCCTCTTACCCGTCAATGGCCATGTGGCAAAGTTTTGAGGTGTTTTATAGAGTTAGCTGTCCCACCAACTAACTCGCCTCCTCTCAATGACCATCATCTATTTTGGTCCATGGCCACTTATTCAAAAAATACGTGGCTAACCTCTATATCTAGAGGCCTTTCCACCATCCGCCACCTGGTGGACGCGCCTAGGATTAGGACAGGCTCCTACCCCAGGAGTGCTAGTGTCACTAGCAAAATCTATTCCCAGAGTACAAACTCTAGGTAGCATTATGCAAGATTATGATTTGTCCATGCAGCATGATTACCATGGCCTGCCAACTAGTACTCCTACCTACACTATGGTCTGAAATGGCGAAAGGCAGCACCATTATGTTTCGCTTTAGGCTTTTTTTTTTTTAATTTACTTTGTTTAATTGACTCTGTAAAAAATTTTGAAAGTAAATGCGACTTACTTGATACTGACCCCAGTCCAGAGTAGATTAAACGGCACATTATGGGGCTCACACCAAGAGGTGCCGACACAAAAGTGGACACAGGACGGCTGTTGTGGGACTCAATCCTATTTCAACGGGAAAAGGGTGGGGCTGGACCACGATTAGGTGTATAAAATAATAATTTGCTGAAGAGCAGCCCTGTTCCAGAACCTGAATGTTTCGTGTGCATCCGTTTTACAGATCTGACTAATTTGTATGCAGACTGTTGAATCCTTGCCTCTCAGGCAGATGTACTCCGACTTCGAAGGAATGATCCTATGTATTCTATGAAACTTCATGTGGGTATAGTTTTAGCCACTTACCCGCCATGTGTGTGGCTACTGAGTTCTTATTAATAATCAAAGTAATAGCATTTTCTGGGCATCTATACGTTGCGGGTCTTTGCCCCATTTGTAAAATTAAAGACAGTAGACTGGGGGGGGGGGGGGGAGGGGGCATTCTTTATTGAAGAAATTAAAAAAAAAACACTGTGGCCATTTGCAAAGCTGATCATATTTTAAAATCTAGTTGAACTGCTGAAAATGGACTTCAAGAGTTTCAAAATAATGTCTCCCTTTTCAGAATTGGGAGTCGGCTCTGTGGCTAAGTCGATGCGAACGCTTCGTAATGCCGGGGTGCCAGGTTCGATCCCAGCTGCGGGCCATGCGCCTTGCGTTGGTTTCGACAGTGGTATCAGGGAGCCGACCGCCCAGTAAGCAATGACAAACTACTGGACGTAACTTTGCCTAGAAAAACCACATAACAGCTAGGGGCTGTTGGGGTTGGTTCTGCAAAGTCCTGTAAACGATACGCAACTAACTTTCAGAATAGGATTCTTTGTTGTTTCTATAAACTTTTGAATTAGAGGAGCTCGCTAGTAGAAAATATCGTATCCCTCATCATCACAATCAGTAACTTTAACAACGTACAATATGCCCGGCTCTCTAGCGGAATTGGCTAAACCGGATTTCGCGGAGACCGGGTGACGTACACCTTGTGGTCCGGGTTCAATCCCGGGGGTAGGCAGGAAAGCCATATTTTCTCCCAGATTTACGGTATTTACAATGGAATCAAGGCCGAAAGGTTGCGATATCCATAATACCAAGCCTAAGGGTTAACAACTCATGGCTTCTGGATACTAAAACAAACAAACAACGTACAACCTAAAAGAGTTTTTATTTT